AGAAATTCCATAAAAACCGCAAAACCCTTGAGACCGCAGACCCCAGAAACTTCACAAAACCCCTCAGACCCCGCAGACAACACAGAACATACAGACCCCACAAACTCGGCAGATGCTACAAACACTCTAATATCTTCTTATTCTATAGATCCACAAACCTTCAGCACCCCACAGACCCCACCACAATTCCTAAAACCCCTCAGACCGCAGACCCAGAAACTCCCCAGACCCCACAAAACCCCTCAGACCCAGCAGAACATACAGACCCCACAAACCCCGCAGACACTACAAACACCACAAAACCCTGCTATTCCGCAGATCCCACAAATCCTCAGCCCCCACAAACCCTACAATAATAGAACGCAACGTAATAGGCAGAAATATCGCATCTCAGTGGCCATATAATCCAAGCCGGGAAGGGGAGCTCCCAACTTATTAAGAAGATTTTGGGAAAGGTCGAAGGGACTCTGATTTTTCGTAACATACTAGCATTTTATTGAAATATGTATTTCTTTTTATAAAATCAAATCCAAATTTTTCGTTAGAGACACTAATCTTAGAAGAATCAAAACGCAGAACAATTTTTCCGTATATCTACTCAATAGACTTTCTTGAGATAGGAAACCTTGATATAATATCATAAATAGTAAGATCCTTATTACAAAGATATATAAATGTCATCTTCCCAATTTTCGGAAATTCTCACATAAATAATCCCAAGTTTTCATGTATTGGAAATGCAGAAAAAATTAAGAGTCGTAAATCCAAAACATTTATCGAATTTATCCATGAACATTTCTTTTTCCATCAATCATCATCGAAAAAAAATTAGATTCTCCGCGTGCTAACCATCGGAGACATTAAAATGAGAGAAATCCCGAGATCCATAGCCCAAGAAAATTGAAACTCTGCACTACTATCGTAATAGAAATAAAAGACTAACTACGTTAACTTTCGTGATAATTAAACCTAACACCCATAATGCATAATCTCAACTCACTACACCACAAGAAAAGAAGACGAAGAGTAGTAAATAACCCAAGCCAACCCCTCCACCGGGGAGAGAAAAGAGAATCAAATCCAAAACCCACCCCTTTACAACAAGCGGACGAAACCACACCGACGAAGGGATCCGGGCACGAGGCCACCCAGAGCCCTACAAGCGGCACGCACCACAGCCAGGCGAGAAGCGTAATTAGGGAGGTAAAGAGCGGTGGGTATGCGCAGGGGGCGAGCAGGGGGTCGGGCAACACGAATACACACACACCCACACACCCACACCCACATGTATGTATACATATATATTGATTATATATCTATATTCTTGTTTGAGCTTATTATGTTGCAAAACCTAGCACTCAATTCATGCCATTTAATTTCCGAAGACTATTTTCTATTGTGGAGTTGTCTGCGCATTACTAGCATTTGTTTATATCTGAATTCCGATCAATACATTTTCCAATTGAGCTACTACCTGATGTTTCTGACCCCGTTGTTCAATTCAAATCCAGTTCAAGCCTGGGTGACCATATTCTCGCAAACCTGCTCATATGGATGTACCTTGTGCTTTCTGCGATCTCCCAGCTATTGAAGCCTCACGCTTGACTTGTCATTCTTCTCATTTCTTAGCATAGGCAGAGATATATTCGTGCAGTTCGACTCAGCACAGTTGCGAAGAGATTCCAAGCTGACATATCCTCTTCCCAGTCCCCCCACAACTTCGTGTGGATCGGACTTCAGGGCTTCGGCAGAACGACATATCCACCACTCTGCTTGCTCTTGCTGTCCTCCTTTCGAGGTAGTTGGGATACTCGGACATTCGTTGTTGCGAGTCTCCAGCACCCTCGATGTGGCGAGGGATATGTGCCGAATGTCTTTGATTGTGATAGGCACTTCGCCCTGCTCTTTTGTCGGCTGCAGTGCAGAAACCAGTGCGCAGACAAGCTCTCAGAAAGGGTAGTATACCTCCGTTCTGCATTCAGCATGACTCTGGCGGACATCGTTGCATGAAACTTCGGTTGCAAACATGCGTGTGTGTGTGTGTGTGCTTCAACTTCAAGCTCCATCAAATGGAACCAAGCTGAGTTCTGCACACTTGGATCGCTTCCGCAGCAGGAGATCCTTCTTTGACGTTGATCATGTGCACAGATGCAGCCCTGGCATTTGAGAAGAATTGCACAGCTGGTGCTCAATCGCTCTCCCAGATTGAAGAGGGACTATTGATGTAGAAGTACCCAATGAACTATCGCCCAACGGCACTCCTTCACCTGATGTCACTGCGCACGCCACGCGGTTTTAACAATATCTATTGCATCGGCCCCGGTGACACCCGCCTGCTGGCAGGCCAGTGGGAAGCTCGGTTGTGATGAGCTGGTCGAGATCTCAGTGGGACATGCTGGGCTCGGAAGAAGTGGTATCCTCTGAATGCCCTGCTGGCTCTCGTACCGGCGTATCCTGGTTTAGTAAGCGGGTTAAGATCAGCGCCGATACATCATCGAGCGCAACTCCTTCACCAGCACGGGTGAAGTCTCCAAGGATCGCAAGGCGAGTAAGGCCCTGCAGCACCTGAGCAGAGTTTGCATTATAACTGGTGCTAGTCACATCCCCTGCAGTTCCCCAGTATGCATATTGCAGCGCAAATGCCAGTGGTGCATCCTAGTTTTCAGTGCTCTACAACGTGGCTCCAGACTCGAGTCGCAGATGCTGGCACTTTTCATCATCACGGGATGCTGTCTCCCAGTTGTGCCGTGGATTTCCCTTAGGGTGTCCACGACAAGCAGAATCTCGTTAGAGGCTCCTGCATCGACATTCATCGAAGCCTAGGTATCTCGGAGGATCGCATGGGTCTACAGCGAGATGTGCATGCTCAGAACGAGCACTGTCAAGTCATGGCGCTCCGCACCTAGACCCAACTGACACTCTTGTTCTGTGTTTGTTTCTTCGTGTAATTTAGATTGACCAGTATCGCCAATTGATAAAGATCAGCTGAGATCATCACTAAACTTCTCCGGATTTCCGTTCTCACCGGCGGGACTGTCGGGCTTCGGGCCTTTGCGACACAGATCTGTGTTTCCCCCAAGCGTTGCCCTCACGCTTCACTTCTGCGCCCTTTCTGCGTGGGCTTCCTCAGTCTGCATCATTCTTTGACGGATTCCACAATAAGCATGAATGTCACTGTTCCTCTCAGTTCTCTGATACCAATCTTCCGAGCAGCATTCCAGAAACAACCAGCGAGCGGGACATTTCAGACAGCGTCTGGAAGCCCGTGTCGCAGAGCCTCGGCATGCTCCAAGGTTTTCTTGAATCAGAGCCTAAGTCCTAAGTTCCCGCCTCAGCACATGCTCCAGCTTCCGCGCCGTTCTCTGCTGCTCGTGCCTTTCCGGAAAGGACTTATGCACAGGACCTTACACACGCGGGGCGCAGGGCGCCTCAGACGTGCGATGTCAATGCTGTGCGCAACGCCATGCATTTCCAGCAGGCAGTCGGCAAACTCGCTGATTTCCTTAACTTGCAGAAGCATGCTGTGCTGAGAAGCATGACTCAAACAAAGCCTGCTTTTGCAGGTTTCTACGATGCCGAACTCAGCTACCAATGCATGTGTGATTCAATGTAGCCTTTGTTGTCGAAGTCGATGAGCTGCCAGATCTGCTCCAAGCTCACTTTGTGGAGGTCAATCCTTTGCAAGGCTTCAACAGCATACATGAGAGATCATGAGAGCATGCTGGGATCGCTTCTGGCCATGCCCTCTCGTGAGCCCAGGCACCCAAGGTTCTTGAAGCAGAGCTGGACCCGAAGGTCTGCCAAAGCATTCTCAAACTCTTCCCACTCAACATTGCCGCTGTGGTCCGTGTCTGCTTTTGCAAACCTCGTCTTGAGTCGGTGGCTCGCAGCTTCCCGCAACACTGCAATTTGTCTGAAACACTCGTACCACTGCTTCGTCTTGCCGCGTGCCATGGAGACCTCTCCCTCCAAAAATGTGCATTTGTCTTGCGTGCCGCAGTGCAGAGTAAGCAGTGGGTCGCCGCCGCCACTATTGCTGTTGCTGCTGCTGCTGGCGCAGCTGCTGTCGTCATCGTCAGTGTGCTGACATTGGCTCCGTGGTCGCATCTGTGCAGATTGCTTGCTAAGACCGCAGCAGGATCTCGATCTCCTTGATCCATCCTCGAACAAAGCGCTTGAATTCCATCTCGGGTCTGGCCTTTACTGAACTGAACTAAGAGTCTTTTCCGGTTCTGTATCTCTTCCAGCATCATGTTCTCTTCGTCTTGCAAAGCCATCGCAGCAGAACGGTCCACAAAGACACCAGTGACCTGTGCAAATGACGGTGGTCAAATGGGCTTTATGTTCGCGACACGTTGCGGCAGCTTCTCGTTGCATCACTCTAGGGGCTGCACGATGTTCAGCACGCAGAACCTGGCGAACGGCTAGCGAAGCACATCTCAGCTGCATTGAATGATCTGTGCTCAGGCTTCATTCTCACTCGATTGGCGACAGGTTGGAGGTCCTACTTACATCTCGCTTTCGTGACACCGGATCCTTTGCCGTGGATGGCAAACGATGCGGGCAGTCTTGCTTGGAGATTCAGTTGGATGACAATGGGCACGTGAAGTGGGCTTTCCCCTAAACATCAATGCTGTTGCATGATGAGCTGAGTATTCCGAGTATTATGTGTTGGATTCCTTGGACAGATTTGCCTGCAAGCCATTTCTTGTCCAGCAGTACGTAACCGACTCTGCAAAACGAAGCCAGCACGAATGATGACAGAGCTAAAATGCTGAGAGTGTTGCAGCAGCCCAATGAATCAAACTTTGAAGAGGGTATCAGAGTCGTCCAGCACTGACGAATCTAAATTAAGCACACTCCCTTATTCTTCAGTCACGAGTCGCAACTTCAGCAACCCTGAGCCAGCGACGTTGCGAGCGCGATGTACAACGTCAGGATGGGAGTCACCACGGGGTTTACCAGCATAAGTGGCGGTGCCAACTCTCCCCAACTGATGCCACCGGAGATGGTCCTCAGACCAGGGGATAGACCAAACTGCCAAACAACACAACCAAACATCTGTTGTCTGCAGCTGCTCTGATAGAAGCAAAAGCCACTATTGACACTGCGACGGCAAACATCATTTAGAAGTCGTGACATCTATGTGATGGGACCGCATTTGCAGCATCTGGGCTGCGCGCATGGGGACGACAAGCACGTCAACAAAATCGAAGTCTACTGCGAAGGTCTATGGATATCATACACATGCCTGCTTCTGAATCTTGGTCGCTCGCAGCTCTTACTGTCGTTGGATTTCAGCACTTCGCTGACAGTCTTGCACTTGCCGGCCCTCAGTCAGGCACCTTCCTACTCGTTGGCAACGTTCTGCCAGATACCAACAATGCTATTGTACAAAGGCCTTGACGCGCTTTGTCGCCTGGATCTCCTTTCTTTACGGTCAACGACTCGTGTGTGAGTAGGCCTCACGGCGAGCCTGGAAAACGGAACGCCGCAGATGCTCAGGAAGGTCATGAAGTCCGTTGAAAACAGTTGGTGTTGATTCTGACTCAAGCAGGCCACGCGGAAGCCCAGAAGGTGGCAATTCTCCAGTAGTCTGAAAATGACCTAAATTCATGACCTCAGGAGTTCAATGAGTTCCACGCATTGCAAGCGGCTTCTAGCTACTCCTACCAGCTTCCGCCGAGGGAACTCTACAGAGGATGTTGCAGAAGAAATGTCGTGCACCAGAAAAAACGTTCCGAATAGAGAGACCAAGGCACTTCGGTTCTTCTGATGACATCTTCGAGTGTGTGCACTTCCAATCTCTTGTCCGAGGATTCGGCGAAATCTTCTTCATCCGCCAGCTCCGCCAACAAACCTGCCACCTTCCCCCTGCCGGCACGTGCTGCCGCTGTGGCGGGGGTAATTTGCGTCTTTCCGGCACGCCGCCGAACATCTGCGCTTGCGTGGATTAATGTCCGGACCACCTCTTCGTGGCCTCTGACTGCTGCAATGAACAAGGCCGTCAGTTGGGTTTCCGAGGTTGGTCTGTCCATGTCCGCTTTTTTCTCGCAGAGCGCCTGGACGATCTCGGGCTGATTTTGGAAAGCAGAAGCAAATAAAGTCGATCCAGAGTCCCACACGGTAACGTGCTGCTTCCCCTTGCTCTCTTTCATTTTGCGTCGAACCGCGGCTTCTCCCAAAATGCATGACAGAATGGTATGCTCGGTGCTCCCAATTTCCAAATCACCGGGGGCAGCATCCCAAATCTTCAAACGATAGAGCTTGTCTTTGTCCACACCAGCATCGCACAATGCCTTTAGGCTTTCGATGCGATTGTTGCTCGCTGCCAGCAAGAGAGGTGAGAAGCCGGACTTTGTCACGGCATCTTTTTCGGCTCCAGCCATACAGAGGACGCGAATCACGTCCGCGTGTCCTCGCCGAGCTGCTTCGCAAAGGGGGGTAAATCCGCTGTTGACGTCAGCTTTCTCCAGGTTTGCTCGCAACCTGATCAAAGTGCTCGTGACTTCCTCCACTCCCGTCCTGGCAGGGCAGGGATGTTCAGGGCCTTTGGCCCCTACAGCAGATGACAAACCTCGAACATCGTGAACAGATCTTGACAGGCACAGCAACTCAGCAAGTGGATCCTGGCACTCAGGAAGAGAGGTGTGAAACCGACTGTCTGGGTTCGGTTGATCTGGGCCCGCAGCTTGCAGAGCGACTCCACCGCAGCAACCTTGCCTTGCCCCACAGCTTCGAAGAGCGGTGTGCAGCCAAAGTCCTTCGTGGCCTTTTCCATGTCAGCACGGGCGCGCACCAACTCCTCAATGATCTCACAATGGTCGAATCGAGCTGCCAGCACCAGCGCTGTAACATTGATTGAGGTGCACGGTCTGTCGACATCGGCCAACTCCTGACAAAGGAATCGCGTCATATTGACATGATTCGGATGGACGGCAAGATGTAGGCACGTACTGTTTGAGAAGGCCACGTCGTCTTCCCCTGCAAGGTCTGACACGAATAGGTTGATATCGTCACGGGTAAGCCCAGCCCGAAGCAGCAATCTGGCGGCATGAACCAGCCCTGTCCTTGCCGCTTTCTGCAGGGGCGTGAGGTGACTGTCCAGCTCCTGACGTAAAGCGTGTCCTTGCTCTCGCAGATTTGCTACGACCTGTCGGTAGTCAATATCAGTGCGGTCAAAGCATTTGGCAACAAGTTCCATTTTGCCCTTGAGCAAGGCGTTGCTACACAACTCTGCAAGCTGGGCAGCTTGCTTCTTGCGGCGCCGAATTGCCATGTTGTGGCGCACCCAGCGCTGAATTCTGTGGACTGCTGCATCGGTCACAGCCTGGGACTCCCGTTTCGCAGCCTCCTTAAGCTGATCGAGACTTCTCAACAACCTTGCAGACATGTCTTCCAGCTCGGTAAAGAGGGGCTGTGCCGACAGCAGACTTCTGCCCAAATCCCTGGGACTGTTGATGCAGGTTTCAAGCGCTTCTGCACATTTTGCAGCATGTAGCTTGACTGCAGATATACTGTCCGGGCACGAAATTGATTGTGCCTGAGTCGGCGTTGCGTCGCCCTGGGAGGATAATAGCAGCTCTGTAGTTTGGATGTAGGGAAGTAGTCTCAGGACCCACTTGTGCGTTAGTTCGGCTCGTGTGCAGGGCGAACACTTGTTTCCACTTGCCAACCACTGGAGAATCGAATCCTTCTCGTAGATGTGCCCGTCACTCATGAGCACTGGATCTTGCATGGGCTCTAAGGAGATCGGACAAGTATCGACAGCATGGTTGTGGACATCCCGTCGTCTGACAAACTTTCCGCTCTCGAGCTTCCAGATCCGCGCCAAGGACGAGGCAATAAACTCTGGTTCGAAGCTGATCGAGAAATCCAACACCCGAGCCATTGCTACCCAGCGCTTGCCGAACAAAGGACTCCACAGAGATGGCCGGCGGAGGTTTGAGTTTGCAACGTGTCAGCCATGCTCGTCTTTAGCCTCCCTTTTGTGATTCCCTTTCAGCGTCTACATCACAACTGGTGCGGCCAAGAAGCAAGAACAAAGTGAAGCAGGTTGTCAGCCTCAATCACTTTTGTAGCACTCTTGTTGCGACAGAGACGCGTAAGATTCGTTGCTGAAGTTGCATGTGCTGGTAAGCCCTATCAGCTCAGGTCATCTCAAGGAAGAGAAGGGAGACAGCCCGGCAAACTCCAACGGTCCGCCTCGGATGGAGCGTCAGAGTCTTGTATTTGGAAGCTCGCTCACAACGTGGCTGTATATCACAAGCGGTAACCTCTTTGCACACAGGTAGGCAGAAGCAAAGGGCTCTGAAGGCTGCTTGCAATACGAGGAAGCATGCGAGCAGGCTTCCAGACCGATCAGCAGAGAAGCTGGGAATTTCTTGCGGATTGTCTGCGAGAAATTCGCCCACAAATTGCAAGATGCATACCTGGTCATGGAAGACGAATGTGGCGTGTTGATAGGTGCAACCTCCGGTTTGCAGACGGAGTCAGACCCAGAAAGCACCGGTATTTTCAAATCGAAGCACGGCGGTAATATAAATGATGAAGAAGAGGAGAATCAGGGCCCACATCAAAGCCTTGGTTTCGGAGCGCAATTTGCTTCGTGAAGCTGCGCCAGACAAGAGCCCTCCCAGGAGCTCTCCAATTGTGTACTGCTCATGGGCGATCCCTTGACTTCGCCACTCATCATCACTGCACCGCAAGCACTTCATCAGAAACTATCCCCAGCTACCGGATCATATGCCATGTCATAGGCTGAAGCAAGCAGCCTTCAGTGAGCTCAGTACTCCCATAATCATGACTCTCAGGTCGGAGAAGAAGCGCAGTACGCGGAGCACACGTGCAACTCGAACCAGCCGCAGCAGTCCTGACACGAAGTGCTTTCGTCATGTCTTGCAACATGGCCCCCGACGAAATCCGGCGAACCGGTCAGATATCGCCTTGATAAAAGTCTGGAACAGACGCAGAAAGAGCCCAGAGAATTCTGGGCGACTGGACACTGAATTGCACAGCCCCTTCACAGACCACAAGAGCTAACACATAACGAGGATCACAAAACAGCATGCAAATGGATACATTAGACGCAAAGCTGCCAAGGGTTGTCTGCAAACCAGATTCACTGTACCTGCCTGCTATTATGCTTCTACGGAAAACCTTTGATTTTGCATTGCATGCGAATCCCTTGCGTCCGTCATCCGCGTGCACTTTCTACGCAGCTGAGGCCCAGTCGCAGAATGCGAGCCGAAGACATATTAGGAGGTGGATCTGGAGCGTCTCTCATTGTTGCGAAAGTGCGGGTGATGACCTCATCCTCGGCTTCTAGGCAAGGGCATCTCGGATTTGCCCTTGCAATATTTCCAAGACGCATCTTCACATTGACAGACAAGTCGCCAGAATTCCCAGCATCACTAGCACGGCATCCATCACATTCCACTTGATGTCAGGGTTTTGACATGAAAACATGCTCCTTCCTCAGAGTTCACAGGCAAATCATGATGCAAGGATGTGTAGCTGCACTGGGCTACCTACTGTACAACATGCTGGACGAAAGCTTGTCGGGGGGCAGGGGGGGACTGGTGCGGGCATTGTCAGCGACGACTAGTTGCGGCAGCAGCAGAGCAAAATGCAGCTGAGAGTAGCAAAATGTAGCAACAGCACAACCGGTGACCGCAGTGAAAACAGCAGAAGGAAGACGGAGCCAAGAGGGGGAGAAACAGCAGCAATAGCAATACCATAGCAGCAGTAGTAGCAACGGCGATAACGGTACGACACGCATTGAATGCGATAGCATCAAGGCTAGAAGCGATGTTGGAAGCTAAAAGAGGGAGACCTGGGGGTGGTAGACTCAACAAATTTCAAGACGTCATTGCCGTGGCCAAGGCTCTGAACAGTACCGGTTACGAATCGTCGGCGCTTGACAGTTCCGTGGGAACATGCAAGTCAGCTGCATTCCGTGGCATCGGTTTGAACATCCGACCACGCTAGTTGTACTTGAGACCAGTTTGATCTCACCCTGGCCCAGCTGCCTTCAGTCCGAAGTCGAAGAAGAAGTTCCAGTGTGAATAACACTGTGAACGTCATACCTGCCTCAGAGCAGATTTCGGATTCAAGGCTCGCAGTTGACTGAGAGGCGCGCTTTTTGCGGGCAGGTACGAGTAGTGAGTAGTGTACACCTGATCCCCTGAGCCTTTTTTGCCTGCCTTTTTTCCTTCCTAGAAACATGGCCAAGGCCGATCTCGAAGTCCCCAGCTACAGCCCCAGGGGGCGCTAACGCTTCGGCTGCAGGGACTCGGCCTGCTCTTTGCTCCTGATTTGGGGCTGTGGTCTTGATCCCAAGCGCATGTGCGCAATGTAAGCATGCACCATATTAGCGGCGAAGCTGTGAAATCCGAGTCTGACCCAGGGGGGGCCACCCTAAAGCAACCCTTCGAGGGACCTTGCATGCAAAGTTTTAGGAAAACCCAGCTGAGCCAAGAATGCAAGATGACCTTACGCCTCATGGCGGGAGAAAAGGCATGAAACTGATGCAGGGTCGCCTGGCTCTGCGGCTTCATTACCTCAAGATGTATGGTCTCTTGCGATAAAGCTGCAATCCGAAAGAACTCCGGCACTTCATGGCTGGGCTGTTGCACGGCATGATCTGCCTGCCATTGAAGGACTTTGCATGCCCGATTCGACGCCCCACCTTCCTCGACATGCTTTGTTCCAATATTATGGCATCAAAACAGAAGTGACCTGGCGACCGACCTGCATCTCCCGAGCCTGGACACCAAAAAGAATGGCATTGCTCAAGATGAGCACTGCAGCGAATGCTTCTCCTGCAGAACCACAGCACCTCACGGCAGAGTTTGCTGCCATGCCAGATTCGTCCTTTATTCGGACTCGCATATTCGACTCCTAAACTTCTGAACTTAGAAAACTCACGCAGCAATGTGGCTCAGTACCTGCAGCAGCCAAAAGCAGCGGCAGTTGGTCGGCGCAGCCACTGGTTGCATACAAGTAGCGTCTTCATGCAGCCGTTCAATCGTTTGGCCAGGGACACGTCCTGCTCCTGGGCGTCTTCTGGCATTGAGTTGAGCGACCTTGGCCGTGGTGGCGACTCCTTCCTGACAATGCACTGTGCTGATTGCTTCGAAGGCTCATCATGCCCTTGCCTTGGCACAAGGCCAGACTGCTGCGAACGTCAGGCACCGCATGCACGACCACGGAAGCAGTGCTCGTACGGCTCATGAGTCTGTGCGACAGAGCCGAGGTGCTTTTGGTTCCCTTTCTCTGCGATGTGTCATCAGTAAATGCGCTCTCCTGCACCTGGCCGCTGTTGCAGGGGACCGTGGGTGGGTCGTCATACTGTGACAAGTATAGCTGGGGCCGACACTGAAGAGATAGAAAACGTGGGCGCGACCTTCGCCTCTACTGCAGCTGGCTCAAGAACCTGCGGAAGGCGCAGTCAAAGGCTTTCCTCTTTGCGCGACCTTCTGTTCGACAAAAATCATCAGCGTGCCATGTGTGGACTGAGATGAATTGAAACAGCCGCCTGCGGTGCCGGTTCATCACTTTGGTGTAGCATAGAACATACCACTCCTGCCACTCTCCTCGGACGCGGTGAACTTCGCCGCTTTTGCAACACTGAAACTCCATCCCAAAGGCTACCCTGTGAAGTGGAGCCTTGCCGTGTGTGCCACTGCGCTCTTTTGTCGAGCGGCTCAGTCTGCTCCGCGAGGAGCTCTTGGATTTGGAGCTCCTCCAAGCACAGTATAGCCAGTATAGCTACACAGGTCTTCCAGCTTCTCACTTGGGGCTTGCAACGCTTGTTCAGCCTGCCTGCTATGGTCGCATCCAGCTTGGGCAGCTTAGGCCGGTAACTTCAGTTTTTCTGTCCATGCATTCTTGTTCTGCATTGCTTGTCGCGGCCTGTTGTCGGAGCACTGACTGTATCGACTCGAGCAGCTCGGCAGTTGGATCTGGTGGCTGCCTGAGACATCATGCGCTGTCTCCAAACCGGTGTTTTCAAAGCGCAGCTCTTGTTGGAGATCGAACAAAAAGCACAATCTGAATTTAAACAGAAGTGACTTGGACGTTTGCAGCGCGTTCTGCTTCTCGACCTCTTCGGGTTTGCACGGCCTGATCTGCGAATGATTGAAAACCCCCTGTCGGCCAAATTGACAATTCCTCACTGTCAGCCAATGCTCGATCGCTTGTTAAAGCGAGCCAAGCGCCTAGGATCATACACAGCAGCCGGTAACCTTCAGCAAACACAACTGCCCGTTTGCCTCGGCATCCCTCAGCGTAGAGGTCTCACCATTGCAGTGAAGTGACACCGGCTGACTCTAATTTGAGCCAATGTCAGGACGAGGTCTGGTGTTGTCAGTTTCAACTTGCAGATCAAGACTAAAAAGTTCTCGGCGCAAACACTGCAGGCCGGACAGGAAGCTGCTCTGTGACTGGCTGAGACAAGGGCAGCCGCGATCTCACACTCCGTGGCATCCGTGAAAGGCAACGCCTGGCTGCCACTGGTCTTGCAGCAGGTTGAACCCTGCTTGCGATGCGGTGCCGAATCTCAATCGTGCATGTACTGTCGTGTAACCGTGTCGAACTTCAGCCATGCAGCTGCGTTCATCGGATCTCGCCACCAATGATTCCCAGTGGAAAGAGTGACCTGTGCAAAGTAAGACAAGGGACCAACAACCACGCAAATTATAAGGCTTTTCTGCGCAGCCAACTGCAGTCGTCCTGTAGTCACCCGATAATTCAGTCTTGGACGCATGCGATATTGACCAGCAACCCGTCAGTGCCTGGACGATCTTCTCCTCACCTGTCCATTCCAAGCCATTATCCTGGCCGATCGGTATGCAACGGAGTCAGAGGTCTCTGTCTGCATTCGTGCTTCAATATGAAAGCTGCCAGCACCCAGAGCTCGTCCAGCGATCGATAGCGACAGGTCGAGAGCATGCGAAAAGCAAGCTTTGCGGAAGTTGCGTGCCGGCAGGACAGCGAAGCGGACAAGCCGCATCCCGCGGTCGCTGTTGCACGAAGCGCACTCTAGAGTGATGAAATCCAGGGGGCTGTTCCTCACGAGGAACTCTTGTCTGTAGGCGCGGTGGGACCAACATGCTGAGCTTCCGGCAGATGCTGGAAATCACCATAGGTGCTGGCAATCGTGAATTGCAGTGTCCTCTCGAGAGGTGATGGGCATCATCCCAAATACCGTGCCGTATGCCGCGATACGAAGCAACACGCCAAAGCAGTCCCGCCGTAGGACGCGGCCAGCTCAGGCAAGTAGAACCTGAGGGGTCGCGGGTGCGGCAATTACCAGTGTGAGAAGTGTTTATGAACCGTGTCGGAGCAAGCAGAGCCGGTGTAGGTAAACTTAAAGCCCTAACTAATTACGAACTTCCGATTCAACCGGATCTTGTTTCGAACACGGCTGAAGTCTGTTCTTGTACGGGGTCTGAACTCAATGCAGGCATAACCAACTAGAACCTGAACCTCAAGCTTGAAGAGATTTCAGCTGGCATCCGACAAGTCTTTGGGCGTCCAGCTTCCCCGGTGGGGCTTCGAAGTACCACTTGGACCTGAAGGCCAGAAGCTGTCAGCTGCCAGCTCAAGAGTCAACTCGCTGAGCGCAGAACTTGTCACTGTTGGTATCGAAATCGATATACTGGACTTCGTCGGTGCCTCTCACGCCGTCTCTATGAGGTGCTGTGAAGTCTACACGTCCGAGTCCATGGCCATAGAGGTAGCGGTTGAGCATTCCCCATCCGAAGGCCTACATCACGCGCAGTGTCCACTCAAAGCGAAGCTCATCGAAGTTCTTTCCACAGAGCTTCAGTCGTCTGCTCTGCTCGTCAGAAAGAGAAGGGTTGAAGAATTACTGCTCGTTCAGGATCAATAAAGTATTGTCGGTAGGCATTCTTCTCAATCTCTTTCCGAACACATGGTTTGCAACGTGTAACAAATCCTCTCAGGACCAAAATCTGCAGAGCATGGCAGCGACTGTAAATGCGTGTTCGGCCTGCCACGTTGGCACTGTGGCATAGATGTTGCCCGAGATAGTCCAAGCCTCTGAGCTCGCTCTTGGCTATGGCTATGCGGCTCTGGGAAGTGAAACAGGGTTGGCCAGGTGGCGTCTGTGCCACCTACGAAGGTGGAAGCCGCGACTTGCTGCGAGGGGCCTCAACTTTGAGAAGCCAGCGCTGGAATGAGCTGGCACGCTCGCCGACATGAGATCGCCTCTAGGAGGATTTTCGTCTACCATGTGTCTCTTTGTGAGTCTTTTTAGCGAAACGTCTTAATTAATAGCCCACTTATGTGGTGACCCTGTGTCTAACATGTGGCGCTCTCTACAACTCGCTGGATATCTGTCGGACTAGCTCCGAAACAGCGGAACTTGTGGATTGATTAAGTGCAGCACTGCTGAAGGAGACTTGGCCGGGCTGTGATTTGTTTCCGCCAGCTGGCTCCTG